CAGGAGGGCGGTGCAGAAAAAGTGCAGGCATTTCCTTTGGAAAAGGCCTAGTCTCTTCCTGCAGGCAAGGAGTCTCGCGTGCCGCTGAGGTTGATCTGAGGCCTGGGCAGGTGGGCGGAGGGTCCAGCTCAGGGCCACAGGTCCCAAGACGAGGAGGGGTCCATCTGTGAGAGCACACAGCCAGTCCTGCGGTCTCCTGAACAACCCCTTCCTTCCCATAGTCCTCACCTCAGCCAGCTTGGGGCAGGGTTGGGAGGTGGAGGTGAAGAGGCCCCTTTCCAACCCCCTGCCAGGGATCTTGCAACATTGGGATGGGGGCTGTGGGGGCCGGGCGTGTGGCAATCTGTTGGGGAGTGGGGGTAGGGAGGTGTGCACGACGAACCGGGGAGTGGTGGCTTTCACAAGCAGCTGCCGGCCTGACCTTGGCAGACTCACCTTGGGCAGCTTCCGCCCTCTTGGCTGTATCTCTCCACGTTCTTCCTTCTTCGCAGCTTCCCTGTGGCCTAAGACTCTGTGTCTCAGCCCAGACCTCCCCACTCAGGACAAATAGACCCACGTGGTCTATCTTTGAAAGCAATGGGCTTTGCTTGTGCTTGGCTTACTGAGTTCAAAGGGCCTTTCTCTAGGCAGGGGTCTGGCCAACTGCCCCTCCTTTTTGGCCATTTCCTTTCTCCAGGAGGGCAGCTCAGCCAAGCAGTGGAGGTGAGAGGAGGGGGGAAGGGCAGGGAAGCCCTCCTCCTCCTCTTTCTCCTCCGTCCAGCTGGCTCGCAGTGGCTTTCTTGCCTGTCCCTTTCTTCTTCCTCCCAGCCGCCATGCATCACTCTATTTCTTTGCCTTGACCACCAAGACACCCATCTACGTTTTCTGCATTTCCTCCTCCCTCTATCCATCTGCCCTCTGATCAGTTTTCAGGTTTCAACCTCAGTGTCACTTCCTCACACCAGCAAATAACCTCCCTCCCTGCCTGTGGTCCCCAGTGAGCTTAACTGGAGTCCTGGGTGGAGGTGTGAATGAGCAGGACTCTGGTGATGGGGCTGGAGCTGACGCCTCAGCAGCGTGTGGGGCCGCCTGGGGAGGTGGGCTACAGGAAGATGTGTACAGGCCCAGGAAGACTCGCAGAACCTCCTGGCCGTTGAACTTTCTCTGCCTGCCTCTTCCCCTGAGCACCTGTTCAAAGGAAAGATACTCAGCCAATGCTTGTTGGATGAGTGGAAAGGAGTCGAGGTCAGTTTGAGAGCCTCGTTCAGGAATGTGCTCAGACAGAAGGGATGGGGGCATGCTGGGGTTGCCCCCATGCCCCACGTCCCGTGCCACACCATGTGGGATCCTGTGGGGAGACAGGGATGTGGCTCTTGTCCAGCCAGAGAGCAGGTGTCAGGGTGGATGTTGTGGCGTGACTGGTTAAGCTGCCACTTACAGTGTCCGTGTGACTCAGAGCAGACAGCTAACTGGGACAGTTTGAGTCCGAGTTCCTCTGCTTCCAATCCGACCTGCTGCCAATGCTCCTGGGAAAGCAGCAGACGAAGGCCCAGGTGCGTGGGTTCCTGCCGCTCACGTGGAAGATCCAAGCGGAACTTCTAAGCTTTGGCTTTGGCACAGCCCAGCCCTGTTTGTTGTGGGCGTTTGGGGAGTGAACCAGGGGAAGGAAAAAAATTTTTTTTTCTTTTTGGCTTTTCAAGTAAGTAAATAAATAAAATTATTTTTTAAAGATATATTTATTTGAAAAGCAGAGCTACGGAGAGAAAGGGAGAGACAGAAAGAGATCTTTTATCCCCTGGTTCACTCCCCAGGTGGCTGCCACAGCTGGAGCTGAGCCTATGTGAAGCCAGGAGCCAGGAGCATCTTCCAGGCCTCCTACATAGATGCAGGGTCTCAAGGCTTTGGGCCATCCTCAACTGCTTTTCTGGGTCACAAGCAAGGAGCTGGATGGGAAGTAGAGCAGCCACGACTTAACCAGTGTTCATATGGGATGCCAATGCCACAGGCATTAATTTTAGCTGCTATATTAGAGTGCTGGCCCCATAAATAAAAACTTTCAGAACAAAAACAAAAGAAATGGAATCCTTGACTATGGGCCAGGCGTTTTGGCCTTGTGGCTAGGATACCACTCACAACGCTTGTGTTTCTTTTCAGAGTGCCTGGTTTCAGTTCTGGTTCCGCTCCTGGCTCCAGGTTCCTACTAATGTGTATCCTGGAGAGCAGTAGGGCCTGCCACCCTCATGGGAGACCCCGGAGTTTCCAGCTCCTGGCTGTGAGCCCAGCCGTTCCTGGACATTTGGAGCTTCAACTAGTGGATGAGAATTTTCTCTCTCTGTCTTTCTCTCCCTCTCTCTCTCTTTTTATACTCTGTCTCACAAATAAATAATTACAAACTTAGAAAGGACAGAAAATCATTGGAAAGTCTCTACCTGCTTGGGAGCTGCTGGGTGGTAGGGTGGAGCACATTTCAGAGCTGTGGGAACAAGCTGGGTGTTGATGCTGAAGCAACCCACCTCTCCCCTCATCCAGAACCATGAAGAGCAGCAGGCAAGGGGCAGTGGGCTTGGACGGAGGGGAGGAAATCCGGAGGTTGAGTCACCGCCGTGTTCTGTGCAAACTCCTCCTTATGCAACCTGTGCCTTTGGGCTGGAAGGAAGGTGCGGGATTCTCCCAGGCGCCCACAGAGGCCAGCACCTTCCCCTTCTGAACTTGGACAGCAAGTACATGTTTGCCCGCCAAAACAGACTTGAGGCAGAGGCCCGGGACACAGAGGTGGGAGTGATGCTTCTGCCAGGCCTGGGGGCAAAGGAAGGAAGGGAACTAGGACCTGGGTGAGGGAGACGGGCCTGGTGCCCGTGGCTTTCTGAGATGTGGGAAGGCCCTGCCGTCGGGGATGTGGAGAAAGACAAATAGGGAAGGCCCAGGTCTCTGCTTCTCAGGAAGTCACTCTTTGGTATCTAACTCAACAGTCACCTAGGAACGGGAGACTGTAGCACTCCCTCGACTCTATCCCCACACCCCCAACACCAGGAGGCGGCTATGATCATGTATTTTTAAAAGTTTTTTATTTTTTTAACATTTATTATTTTTTTTTATTGGAAAGTCAGACATACAAAGAGGAGGACAGATAGAGAGGAAGATCTTCCCTCTGTTGATTCATACCCCAAGCGGCAGCAATGGCCGGTGCTGCACCAATCTGAAGCCAGGAGCCAGGAGCCTCTTGCAGGTCTCCCATGTGGGTGCAGGGTCCCAAGGCTTTGGGCTGTCCTCGACTGCTTTCCCAGGCCACAAGCAGGGAGCTGGATGGGATGCAGGGCTGCGGGATTAGAACTGGCAACCGTATGGGATCCCAGTATGTTCAAGGCAAGGACTTTAGCCACTAGGCTACTGCACCAGGCCCTATTTTTTATTTGACTTTTTAATTTTTAAAGGCAAAGGTAGCGAGAGAGATCTTTCTTTTTTAATTTTTTAAAAATTATTTTTTATTGCAAAGTCAGATATACAGAGAGGAAGAGAGACAGAGAGGAAAATCTTCCATCCAATGATTCACTCCCCCAAGTGACCGCAATAGCTGGTGCTGTCTTGATCCGAAGCCAGGAGCCAGGAGCTTCTTCCGGGTCTCCCACTCAGTTGCAGAGTCCCAAGACTTTGGGCCATCCTCAACTGCCTGCCTAGGCTACAGCAGGGAGTTGGATGGGAAATGGGGCTGCTGGGTCACTAACGGGTACCTATATGGGATGCCAGCATTATAAGCAGCGGCTTGGTCTGTAAGAACATTGCACAACCCTCAGGATCGCGTGTTGAATGTGGTTCATGGCCAGCCTCACAATTCCCCCCACCGCCATGCTGCTTGACCTTGAGCAAGGCTATGAGAGTACTGACAGGTGAGAAGCAGAGGGCAGGGTGTTAGCGGCCTCTTGCCTCCTGTCTGGGCCTGCCCTGCCTCAGCTGTGCTGTGTGGCTCCTGTTGCCCTGCTTGTGTGAGGGCCCACTGCTGAGCTCCACTTCCCACGCCTCCTGAGGACGCTGGCTTGCTGGCTGCTCATGCACCGGACCCTTTGCTGTTTCGTGCCTCTGGGCAAGCCCTCACCCCGGGGCCCCAGCCCTGAGGCCCCTGTCCTGGCCCTGCATCAGGAGCAATGTAGAAGAGCTCTGGTTCTAGTGAAGTGAAATCATAGACTACACGCACACATCCTGTGTGCCTGGGCCCTGCCCGCTACCCACACTACCCCGCAGCGAGCTAGGCGCTCCATGGACGCCCATTCTGCAGAGGAGGCACTGGGCGCGGGGAGAAGTCACTGGCTCTATGCCAGACCGCGAGTAAGCAGCAGACTGAGGCAACTCTGCTGCGTCTTGGGCTACAGTCCTCTTAGCACCCTCCTCTTCCTCCTTTCCCATGTACCCCAACAGCCCTCAAGGTCCTCTGTGGGCCTGTAGGGGAACGGGGGGGGGGTACGAGGGGCCAAGCCGGGGATGGGATGGGAGCTGGTGGGTGGGGGCAGCGATCAGCAGTTGTCAGTCTGGTAGGTGAGGCTGTGGGGCTGGAGGAGACAGGATTAAGTCAGGAGCTAAGGGGAGGGGGGATGACATCCCTCAGGGATGTTGCCTTGTGTCTGGGAAGAGACACGGACCTGGGATCTGCAGGCCTGATCACGGGAGTGTGGGGTGCTGAACCCACCCTAGAAGCTACTGGAACAGGGGACCCAGAGACTGCTCCATGTCCTGTGTGTGTGTGTGGGGGGGGGTGGGATTGCGGGGACAGGGTGATGCCTTGAGCAACCAAAAAGAGCAGGGGAGGTCCTGGAAGGTGTGTATGGGGGAGGGGCAGAGTGGCGGGCAGATGGCTCTGACTCTGGGTGCAACGCAGGGCAGTGAAGAAACAGATCAGTATTCCCACAGACCCATCTCAGTGCCAAAGCAACAGGAATCCAACCCCTGCCCCCCGCAGCCCCAGGTCCTTGAGACCTCTTGTACCACACGTGCAACACACACACACACACACACACACAAACAGCCCCAGCCCCCAGGCACGGTGTAGCTTTATTCAGCTTCAACAGTCACCAACCCGGGTCCTGTCCCGACTTTCCCAGCCCTCGGCCATCCGTCCACAGTCAATGTCTTGGGCTCAAGCTCTAGGGCCATCCTGGTCTTGTCGCCTGGCCATGCCAAAGCAGCGCAGCCGCTGCCGCCCGCCCACAGTCCATCATCCACCCGCGGGGGTTCAGCTGCAGCCCCCAACGCCCTTGATGAGGTTGGCTGCTTCGGGGATCTGGCGGAAGACGTTGCGCAGGGTGTCCAGCTCCTGCGTGAGCTGCTCCACGCGGCTGCGGAGGCGCTCGTTCTCCGCCATATACTCCAGCACCTTCTGCTGCGTCTCCAGGATGCGTCGCTTGGCCTTGTCTCGGCTCTTGCGCACGGCAATGTTGTTACGCTCGCGCCGCAGCCGGTACTCCAGGCTGTCTTTGTTCACTGCCTTCTTGCCCTTGTGCGAGGGGCCGGCCGGGGAGGGCGCCTTGAGGAGGGGGCTGCAGGGAGGCGCTGCGCCTGCGGCCAAGGGGGCCTGGTGGGGAAGGTGCGGGAGAGGTGAGGAAGGGGCCGAAAAGTGGAGGTGGGGCAGGAGTCCGAGCAACCAGGGCGCCCCTTGGGAGCATGGAAGAAATGCAGGACGTGGTAGAGCCAGCTCCCCAAATAGCTGGAGGACCACAGGACACAGGGCTTCTGCTTGTGACCCAAAGCCCTGCCCCTCCCTGGGGACTTGCCCCTGCCTCCCAGTCTCTGATCAGCACAGGCATCTGCTTTTCTAGAAGCAGGCAGTGGAGTACAGCAGGAGGGAGAAGTGAAGAAGCGGGTGGAGGATGGGGCGGTGGTGGTTATGGCGAGGGGCAAGATCAGGGAGATCAAGAGCCTGGAGTTTAGGGTCTTGGTTCGGCGCTGGGCACAGTTTCACAGAGCGACTTCTAACATGATCTCCAGTGGCAGCCAGGTGATGCCCTACCCCTCAGCATGGCCCCCTTCTGCAGCGTTCCGCACCCCCTAGAAGGCAGGGAGGAGAACTGGTCAGCTCTTACCTTGAGGACGCGCAGGGGCTGGCCCTGTGCCGGTAGGCTTGGAGGCAGGTGCATGGCCGTCTGCCCGCAATGTGCCACTTGGTACTGCAGGGGATTGTAGCTGCCACCTCGGCTGCCACCCCGGCTGCCCTCGGGTCCCCGAGGCTCCTCCTTCACGGCCACAGCTCTGGGGTCGTAGCCTCCCGGGCTGCCGCTGTAGATTCCTTGCCCCAACACCTTCCTGTCCGGGCCGAAGTTGTGCGAAGGATAGGCGTAGGACCTGGGGTCAGCCGACAGGTAGTGAGGGAAGACAGGGCTCCCTGGCCCCTTCAGGCCGCGGGCCTCCGGGACCGGCTTCATGGCAAAGAGATCGGAGAGGAGCTGCTCTTCCCCAGATTCGATGTAGGCCGAGAGATCGATGGAGGCTTCATGCTCACACATGTCCCCCAGCTCCCCCGGCCCGGCAGCTCGGCCCCCTGGGAACTCGAGTGGCTGCTGGCTGCCCCTGGGCTCGCACTCGTAGTAGGTCCCGTGGGACATGGCTGGCCCGCCCCCTGGGCTCCCCGCCCCCACCCTGCACCCCTGGGGATGCTAGTCTGCCCTCTCTCTATCACCCCCTGCCCTAGATCTGCCCCAGATCTGTCCTCTCCGCGCTCCTGAGTGGCCTCTCTCCTCCCTCCTCAGCTCTGCTTCCTTTTCCTTCCTCTGTAGTCAATGCCTCTCTTCTCTTCCCTTTTTTCCCCCCTTCTCTCTCTCTCCGTGGGGTGACTCAGGGAGGGGCAGGGCGCACCCAGGGGGAGGGATGCCGGCCTTCCACCAAGGGCAGCTGTGGTCTGGTTGGTTAACAGTTGGGGGGCTGCGGGGAGGCATTTTTTGGCCAGGTGCAAGCCAGGGCTCTGGCCATGCCCAGAGCTGATGCTTCTGGGACACCGCCCCCCCCCCCCCCCCCCCGCCCGCATTCTCCATGCTGAGCTCTGGACATGGCAGGTTCTCCTTGCTGAAGGCAACAACAAACTCTTGAGTGTCTTCCTCCTTCTGACTTCCAGAAAGTTTTGTGCAGAATCAAATGCCAAGTCAGGGCACATGGAGCAAGCCCTCTTCCATGCGCCAACCCAAGCTTGCTCTGGGTTCCTCCCTGGACACGCCTTCCACAACCCCCTTCCCCTCATGCAGTGCTGGGTTCCACCTACCTCTCCTCCACCCCCACCAACAAGGCCAGTTCCTTCTGTAGTCCCGCCTCCCATAGCTGCTTGTTGGGGTGCAGGGGTGGGGTGGTTTAGGAAGCACTGGTGGGTCCTGGGAACAAGTCACACAGCGGGGGGCCGGGCACAGTCTCTGCCTGCCTGGGCATGGCCAAGGTGCCTGGGCAGGCTGTGGACTTGGCACTCCAGTCCCCAGGCTAGCTGCTGTCTCTTCTAGCAGCTCTGGCGCCCCCCTCCCAGTTGCAGTGCACTGCAAGAGGCTCTGGCTGGCACTTGGTACCCCCCCACTGCCCTGGGCCCAAGGCCTGCCCACTGCTTCCTGTGCCCTGGGCTGCAGGCCTCGGGAGCTTGCTACTGCAGCTCGGCTGGGCGCCTCTCGACCTGGGCGCCTTTGCTGTGGCCGATCTCTGACCTCTGGATTGTCTCCTGGGTCCACTTCCTCTTGCAGGGTGCAAGGCTGTCATCCCCTCTTATGGGGCTTGGTTTCAGCGTCCTATGGAGAAGCCTGCCGCTACTCCTCCACAGCCCTTGGATGCTTTTAACTTTTTCATTTTCAAAAATAAGGGAAAGGGGTTGTAGCCCGGCAATTAAGCCACAACTTGTGGCACCCACATGGTGGCTCAAGTTCTAGCTGCTCCTGCTGCCAATCCAACTTCTGACTGATGTGTCCCAGGAGGCCTGGCTGACAGCTCAAGGGATTGAGATCCTGCCACACATGTGGGAGACCCACATGGTTTTCTGAGCTCCTGATTTTGGTCTGGCTGTTACAGATGTTTGGGAAATGAACTGACAGTGGAAGTAAGGTCTCTCTTTCTGTCTCTCTGTGTCTCTCTACCTTTCAAGTAGGTGAAAAAAGAAATGAGGGGCCAGCACCATGGCTTAACAAGCTAATCCTCTACCTCCCATCACCAGCATCCCTTACGGGCACTGGATTGTATCCCAGCTGCTCCACTTCCCATCCGACAATCTTCCTGTGGCCCGGAAAAGCAGCAGAGGTTGACCCAAAGCCTTGGGATCCTGCACCCATTTTGGAAAACCATTGCAGCCATTTGGGGAGTAAACTAGCAGATGGAAGATCTTTCCCTTTGTCTCGCCTTCTCTCTGTAAATCTACCTTTCTGATAAAAATTACAGAAATCTTTCAAAAAAAATGAGCATTCAAATTTATTTTGATGCTTGTTTGAATGAAAGTGAGAGCTCCCACCCACTGGTTTGCCCCTCAAATGCATGAACATCTAGGGCGGAGCTAGGCTGAAGCAGGAGCAAGGAACTCACTCAGTTCTCCCAGATGCACATTACTAACAGGAAGCCAGAATGGAGGGAGAGTTGCTGGCTAATGGATACAGGTGGCTCCAGCAATGACCTAACTGCTCTGCCCTTACTCCACTCAATGTTCTAGAACTGGTGCCTCCACAATGAAATCAACATCTCAGAACTATTGAAACCACTTAAGCAGTACCCTTGGAACAGGTTCCACATCCAGGACCATAGGATGATATCGAGTCACTGTGGTGTCGTTAGGCTGCTGGGTCAGCCCTCTTTTCCTCTCCTCTCTTCTCTCAGAAACAGGAAAAATAAAAAGGAAGGTTGAAAGCAGTTGTCTCATCCATTTTCCCCCGTTCCTGGACCCTTCCCACCCTGATCGGTGGTTCACACGGGCATGCATCCTTCTCAGCTATGTAAACATCAAAAATAAAGTCAATCTATCATATATAAAAAAGAACTGGTGGCTCTAGTTCCCCACTCCTTTTTGGAGGCACTTTTTATTTATTTATTCATTATTTGAAAGGCAGATTAAAAACTTAAAAATTTCTTTTTAAAAGATAGATTTATTTTCTTTTAAAAAATATTTCTTTTTTATATTTTGTTGCAAAGTCAGATATACAGAGAGGAGAGACAGAGAGGAAGCTCTTCCATCCGATGATTCACTCCCCAAGTGGCTGCAACAGCTGGAGCTGAGCCAATCCGAAACCAGGAGCCAAGAGCTTCTTCCAGGTCTCCCATGCAGGTGTGGAGTGCCAAAGCTTTGGGCCAACCTCAACTGTTTTCCCAGGCCACAAGTAGGGAGCTGGATGGGAAGCAGGGCTGCTGGGATTAGAACTGGGGTCCATATGGGATCCCCGCGCATGCAAGGCAAGGACTTTTGCCACTAGGTAACATGCCAGGCCCAATATGTATTTATTTTCATTGGAAATGTAGATTCATAGAGAGGAGAGATAGAAAGATCTTCCATCTGCTGGTTTACTCCCCGAGTGGTCACAACAGCCAGAGCTGAACTGGTCCAGAGCCAGGAGCTAGGTGCCTCTTCTGGGTCTCCCATGCAAGTACAGGGTCTCAAGGCTTTGGGCCATCCTCTACTGCTTTCCCATGCCATAAACAGGGAGCTGGATGGGAAGTGGAGCAGACAGGACATGAACTGGTGTCCATATGGGATCCCAGCACATACAAGGTGCAGATTTAGCCATTGGGCTATCATGCCAGACCCTAATTTTTAATTTTTATTATTATTGACATAGCTGAGAAGGCCGATTAGGGTGGGGAGAGTAGAAATATGGAGGAAGGTTGCTGGGACAAATGTTTCAGTTCTTTTTATTTTCCTGGTCTACTGGGGGATGAGGAGGGGAGTGGGCTGCTTCTTGTTGTCAAACTATATCAGCACCCAGGGATGGGAGATGGTCCTTTGATGTCACCTTAAAAACCCTGATGTGGGAAAGAATGTTCCAAGGTTATTACCTGAGTGGTTTTGGTAGTTCTGAGATGTCATTGGCTTTGTTGCACTGAGGCTGAGAACATTTTTCCAAGGCTGACCAAGCCCACCTCTGTGTGCATCCTTAGACCCAGACGCTGCAAAACATGGGCAAGACAGTTGTCCAAACTGTTCTGCTTTCTATCCCTTGACTCGGCCCTCAACGTCCTCTGCTGGCCTAGATGAATTGGCTATCATGTCCTCCATGTGCATTTGAGCATGCTGTCCACTGCACGGGCATCAGCAGCTGAGGAGGCCCAGTTCTGATACATGCTCTGCAAGGTTGGGACCACGTATCTAGTGATTTTTCCCTGTGGCCAGGACTTGAGTGTAGCAATCTGTTGGGGAGTCCCCTAAGAAACCTTGCCTAAGGTGACCTCAGACTTTGATGTATGCCAGTTAGTGCAGGGTCAGGTGTGAACCTGCATCAGCCAATGCACACACCTGTGGATGCAGCTGCCTGGTCAGTTCAGCCCCCAAACCCCATCTTTCACATGAACTGACAGGTGCTGTGGCCTAGCCCGGCCCACCCCAGATTTAGCCCAAATGCCAGACTGACCTGCCTCCAGTCCTGGCCCTCATGCTCACCAGTAGAAGCAGCAGGGGAATCTCTGAAGTTCTTCTGTCAGACCTGCTCCCAGACCTGGGTCCTGTGAGTGCCAACAGGTGCTGAAGCTCAGTCTGAGATGACCCACCCCATGTCTTGGCATTTGCCAGCAGACACTACAGCCTAGCCCAGCCTGGCCAACCCCCAGTCCCAGCCCACATGCATGCTGATAGGTGCTGCAGCCTTGCCCAATCTGGTCTGCCCATAGCCCTGGCTCTCACACTCACCAATGGGAGCTGCAACCTGGCAGAGGAGTCTCCAAAGCTCCCCTTCCAGGCCGGTTCCCAGCTCTGGATCTTACATAAGCTGGTGGGAACTTCAGCATGGCCTGGCTTAGAGTACTCCCAGGCTCAGCCCTTGCTAGCAGGTGTCTAGCCCAGCCACCTGTGGCCCACACACTGTCCTGGTTCTCATGCTGTCAGTAGGTGCTATGACCTAGCCAAAACTACCAGTCCTGCTCCCAGCCCTGGGTCTCATGTGTGCCAGTGGGTGCTGTAGCCCTGCTTGGCTTAATCTGCCCTCAGTCCTGGCCTTTGCATATGTCAGTGGGTACTGCAGCCTGATACAGCCCAAACCCCTCCCAGTCCTGGCTCCCGCGAATGTCACTGGTCGTCTTACAGAAGCAAGTCTTCAAGTCCCCTACAGAATCTGTCCCCAATTCTAGTTTTCTAGTGTTTGGGTGCTGCAGCCCAACCTGACATGGCGTAATCCCTGCTCCAATACCTTTTTTTTTTTTTTTTAACACTTTCACATATTACTGCAGCCCACCCCCCACCAGGCATGTGCCCCAGCCCCAACTTTTGTGTGAGTCAGCAACCAGCGGATTGCTTTCCCAGGTCATAAACAGGGACCTGGATGAGAAGTGGAGCAGCCGGGACAGGAGCCGACACCCACATGGGATGCTGGCAACACAGGGTGGAGGGTTAGCCTGATAGGCCATCGTTCTGGTCCATGAATGGCAGATTTCCAGAAAGAAATCTTCTATC